ATTTCAAATTAAAAGTGGGATATTTTCGCTTACGCCTTTTTTACTTTTAGATAAAGTAGCCGTAATTAACAGCTATGCCCTTGTCGCACAATATTCTTAAAGCAACCACAGGGACAAAACGTAAGAAGAATGAAAGTGAATCTCAAAAAAATAAACGGTGCCGCCAATCTGGAACGGCTCATTATAATTGCAAAATGAAGAAAGCTGAAGAAAGTTGAAGCAAAATGAAGAAAACTCCCTGCCGTAGTAAGAACTGCAATAAGTTTTCGGAAGATGAGAGGCAAGTCATTTTTTCATATTCTTTTAAGGTTTAGGAAGCACCGAGAAACCACGGAGTTTTATTAATGGGTGTGTTAATGTGGTCCCTGACAAAGACTCATTGGAAGCTCAATACAGGGAAAAATAAAGGAAAGTTTAGACTTGCGAGGTAAGCAAGAACTTATATTCAATCGTTACCTGCAGTGCCCTCGCATTATTGTAGATGATCATCATCATCACAAGAACTTTATCTGCAAGCAGAAGGAAAAAGTATCGCCAACCTTTACAGGCTCAACAGCTTTCAGAAAACATTTCAAAAGTTAATTTAACATTGACATGCATGTTCCAAGGAACGATAAGTGCTCGAAATGCGAAAGATATAAGAATATTCCGGAAGACCAGAGAACCGATAATGACAGAAACGATCACCTTAATCATCAAAATGAGAAAGATGAAGCGAAACGACGATGTTCCTGAGCGATCAATCTCTTTGTCTTGAAGATAATACGTTAGTTGTTTCATTCAGCTTGCAAAAAGTTTCAGGCTACACTATTGAAAATTGATGACGAAAAGAAGTATCGTAAAGTACTCTTCTACTGTGATAATTGCCCAGGCCAGAACAAAAATAAGATCCTATTGACCAGCCAAAGCCTTATGAAGTTATTCCAATAGGATTGAAGTTGCCATAACGTGTGGCCGTTAAAAATAGCATTTATCATGCAGCACAGGGCTGCATATCTGCATTAGGAACCTTAGGAGACCTTAGGGCAAAAGGGCGGCGCCCAGGGGACTCACCCTGCTCGTCGCCGATGCCGTAGACGGTCTTCTGCTGCGCGTGCGGCTGCACCGCTGCAGCCGTCAGGAACCCGTTCGACATCACCTGGTGGAAGATGGGCGACCTGCTGTTGAGGGGGAGGATCCAGCGCGTCAGCGCCCCGGTGACCGAGTGGAGCACGATGGTGAACGGCTGCAACAAGAGGAGGAGGAGGTGGCCTGGGCAACCCGCCAGGGGACCTACCTGGAACGGGTTGAGCTCGCCCTTGGTGTAGAAGTGGCGGCTGCGCCTCCACAGGAGGGGGCGCCCAGGGAAGTCGCCCCGCCACAGGGCGAACACCTTGCCGCCCACCGTCAAGGTGAACCCGCTCTCCTTGCAGGTGCAGATGGAGATGATGGGCCCGTCGTGGTACTGGGCGCGGTCCAGGTAGACGCCCACCTCGCAGTTGACCACCTCGCCCGAGTCGAAGTCCTGCCCCTCCCACGCCAGCTGCGCGTACTCGCCTGCAAAGCCCCCCCCATTGTCCAACCGGCCAATCACAGCTCCTTTCACCCACCTTCAGTGGTTCCGATTTTGATCTCGGGGCGGAGGTGGCGCTGCGCGTCCAACAGGGGGCGGTAGATGATGCGCTCGCGCATGTCAAAGCGCCGACTCGCGTCCGGATTGGCCTCCGCGTAGCGCAGGCGACAGAAGGAGGTGGAGCTTCGCGTGATGGCCACGCCCCGCCCCTTGGCGCTGATGCGGTAGCGCGGCTTCAGGTTGAGGTGCAACGCCCTGAAGGGCGACTCGTCCACCTGCAGAGCGGAGGGGGCGGTTAAGAGGCTGAAAGGGCGGCGCCCAGAGACCTGGAGGGCGCTGGGGCGCTTCTGGAGGCGGCGCAGCCGCTTCGGCTTGTAGCCGCCCGATTGGATGGTGGGCGAGTCCTGCAGGTCCCAGATGAGGACGGCGCCGTCCAGGCCGGTGGTGAGGAACTGCATCGAGTAGGTGGGGGGGGCGTCCGCCCGCCCCAGTTTGCCGGTGCGCGTGAACTGGAAATGCGGGTCCACCCAGGAGACGCCTGGGCGGGGCKYGGTGATTGGTGGGGGRATCGGYSTTGCCTAGTTACCGGTGACGGCGGCCTTGTGCGAGTGGCGCAGCTCGGAGACGGCGGCCGGGCGCACGATCGAAACGTCGTGCGTGTCCTTCATCCAGCCCATCAGCGAGTGCAAGTAGCTGCGGTACTTTTGCTGCGCGGTGGTCAGCACCTCCTTTTCCTCCACCCTCTGGAGCTTGTTGCGAATGTCCCAGATTACCTGCCATTTTCAGTTCCTTAGCAGAACGCCAAAGTTCCCTGGGCGACCTCCTTAGGTTTTCCTAGGTGTCGAAACCTCCACCGATTTGATTTTTGGGAGCGCTGGCTCCTAGGGAACTCAAGGAGGTTTCTAGGGAACTTTCGTTTTTTCGACTCGGGAGATTTTCGAATAGCGTTTTGTCCATACCTTCAGCCTCCAGACTTGGAGGTTTTTCAAACGGATGTGATTTTTAACCCGAATGTAAACTATCTAAGGAGGTGCCTAGGGAACTTTGATTTTTCCGAATCGGACTAGCAATAAATGAGAAACTTTGCACTGAAAAAAACATGACTGTCCCAAAGAATTGGCAATAAAGTTGAAGTATGGAGGACTCAAGGAGGTTTCTAGGGAACAGTGATTTTTCCCCAATGCGATGAAAAAAATCGAATTAGATGTTTTCTTAACACGTCTACCCTCAAAACATACAGATTTTTCATCCGATTTCATTTTTTTCAAAATTGATTTTTGGAGGTTTCTAAGGAACTTTTTCTAGCTTGGTATTTCCCGTATCGAACGAACTTTTTTTCCATTTTTTCGCGAGCATTGGGGATTTTTGACACGAATTTGAAGTGGAGCTGGCAACGCAAAGGGTCCATTTGAGTTCAGCAAAGTTTGACAATTTATGACTCAGTCACTGAGCCAACTGGAAATTTGGCAATACCGCAACTGGATCAAAGAGGCTTTTATACATAACTGGGAATTTTTTCAAAAATTTTACAAGTTTTGGGGATTTTTGACACGAAATTGAAGTTGAGCTGGCAACGCAAACGGTCCATTTGAGTTCTTTTTTTCCTAGGTGTTGAAACCTGCACCGGTTTGATTTTTGCAAGCGCTGATTCCTAGGGAACTCAAGGAGGTTTCTAGGGAACTTTTGWTTTTTCGACTCGGGAGATTTTCGAATAACATTTTGACCATACCTTCAGCCTCSAGACTTGGAAGTTTTTCAAACAAATTTGATTTCTTCCCGAATGTGAACTTTCTAAGGAGGTTTCTAGGGAATTTTGATTTTTCTCGCAGTCGGAGCACTTTCCAAAAAGAACTTTTTTTTGTCTAAAACCGCTTTTCAGGTGTTGRAATTTGACAAAAAAAGTTGCAATTTTTGGAGGTTGCCAGGGAACTTTTAGTTTTCTTGACCGAACGATTTTTTCTGATGTCACCAGCATACAAATTTTCAGGATTTTTCCCCATTCCTCCACCTTCAAGCCTCTGAGGTTTTTCACCGAATTTGATTCCTAAGAAAACTATCGTTTGAAGGACGTCAGGAGGTTCCTAGGGAAGTTTCATTTTTCGAAATGCGAGAAAAGTTTTTTTCGAATTACACATTTTTTACTTACCTCCAGCCTCAACACACTCAAAATTTGCACCGATTAAATTTTTTCGAAAGGTGATTTTTGGAGGTTTCTAGGAAACCTTGATTTTTCCGAACCGAACGAATTTTCGCTTGCTTCCAGCCTCAAAACTGCAAGGTTTTTCATCAAATTTGCTTTGAAATAGATCTGAACTTTGGAGGACTTAAGGAGGTTGCAAGGGAAGCTCAATTTTTTTGACATGCCATAAACAAAAAATTGAAATAAATGTCTATTTTTGCTTCATTCAATACTTCCTGCCTCAAAACTCAAATTTTTCAGCGAAAATTTTCTTTGAAAGGTGAATTTCGGAGGTTTCTAGGGAACTTTGACTTTTCTGGACCAAACTGATTTTCCCCGTGCCTCCAGCCTCGTAACTTGCAGGGTTTTCAAGCAACCTGAACTTTGGAGGATTTTTTCAAATGCAATCAAAAAATTGTCAAATTAGAGATTTTCTCATACTTCCAGCCTCAAAACTTTCAGATTTTTCATAAGATTGAATTTTTTTCGAAGTTGATTTTTGGAGGTTTCTAGGGGAGTTTCATTTTTCCGAACCGAACGGATTTTCCCCTTGCTTCCAGCCTCAAAACTTCGAGTTTTTCAACAAATTTGGTTTGCATTAAAGCTGAACTGAAGGAGGACTTAAGGAGGTTTGTAGGGAAGCTTCTCATAAAACCCGCGATAACTCCAAGGGTTTTCAACCGATTTCCACGCTTGATCCGTCTAATTGTTCGAAATTCAATTACCTTTAAAACAGTGTTGGACCTATTTCAACCCATAGGGGTTTGGCCAAGTGACAGCCAAAAACCTCACTGTCTGTCACTTCCTTGAGCTTCAAAAACAAGGTTTTTCAGGACAAGATCCTCGATAACTCTGAGGTTTCTGAACCGATTGCAACGCCGATAACACCGTAAGTTTTGGAATTCCATTCCGGTTTCAACCCCGTTATACTGACCTCAATCCATCAACTTTCCAGCAGGTTACTGAGCAAAAAACTCCCAAAAATCGCCTTTGTGCAGCGCAACTTTTCCCCGTATCTGCCTGAATGGTTGCGCGATTTTCACACATCCAACACTGTTTTAAAGCCAATCAATTGCCCAACAATCGGGTGTTGGTCCCATCAAAATCCGCCCAAMACCWGGGAAGTTATGCGCAAGTTTGTCCGCCACTCACCACCTGCCCATTCCTGCAGCCGCCAATCAGCACATTCTCGTCAAACCCGCAGAAGGACACCTTGTAGACCTCGCGGGGCGACTCGAGCACCAATCGCGGCTTGAGCCCGTCCAGGAAGCTCCAAATCAGCACCAGATTCACCGTATGCACCGCCCTGTACACCTGAAACCACGCCCCCAATCAGACCAAGCCCCGCCCCACCCCCCCCTCCTTACCTCGTCGTCCTTGGCCGCGCCCACATTGAAAATGTTCGGGCTGACCGCGCAGTAGGCGATTGCGATGGTGCCAGACCACATCGGATGCCAGCAAATGTCGGAGATCATTTTTCCCTTGCACAACGTGACATCCATGAACGAGAGGTACTCGACGAGCTCGCGGCCCGTTTGCTCCGCCCACAGGCTGTTATTGGCCAGGGCGGAGCTTCGGGCCAGCGAATCGAAATCGTTGGCGTAGAAATTGATGGCGCCGTTCACCTGCAACAGAGCGCAGTGGGAGGGGCCGGAATGGGGGGGCGGGGCCTACTTGGAGCACGTCACACACTGATGCCAGATGGTGGTTGGCGTAGCGCGCAATGTCGGGCTCGCACTCGGCCAATAGGGCGTCAGTTGGGCCCGGGTCGTACTGGTATTGGCTGGTGGCGTTGCGGGGGTAGGTACCTGGCAGATTAGGGGGCGTTTGTTAATTGGCGCACTTGTTCCTGATAAGTTGCGCATGCGCAGATTCATGCCCGTTGATTTCTAGAAAATTTGACGTTTGAACCGCGAAAATCCGTTGAGGAATACCGGAGTTATGAAGGATTTTCTGTGGAGAAACGCGTGGAGGTTGTCCAGGGAGTTTGCGCCCGGTTTGCCGGTGTGGAGGTTTTGGAGGGGAAAATGTGTGCCCTGCCACTTTTGCGGTCCTGTACATGGGGGTGGGGTTTGGAAAAACCAAACTGCCCTAGGAACCTCCGCCGCGCCTCCCAAGATCGCTTCTTGAAAAAATCGTTTGAACAACAGTTTGAGGTTTTTATGTCGTAGGGTTCAAAACCCCAAACTTTTGGGAAAAAATTAAAGTTCCCTAGAAACGTCCTTAAGTTCCCTAGACATCCCGGTTCGAAAAAATCGACTGGGTCTGAAAACTGTAAAGTTTTGAAGCTGGAAACATGAAGAAAATATCCAAAATACCAAACTAGAAAAATATTCCTGGAAACCTCCTTAAGTTCCCTAGACATCCCGGTTCGAAAAATCGACTGGGTCGGAAAACTGCAAGGTTTCGAAGGTGGAAACATGAAGAAACTTTCGAAAATACAAAACTGGAAAAAGTTCCCTAGAAACCTCCTTAAGTTCTCTAGATATCACGGTTCGAAAAAATCGACTGGGTCGAAAAACTGCAAAGTTTTGAAGTTGGAAATAAGAAGAAAATATCCAAAATACAAAACTGGAAGAAGTTCCCTAGAAACCTCCTTAAGTTCCCTAGGCATCACGGTTCGAAAAAATCGACTCGGTCGGAAAACTGCAAGGTTTCGAAGGTGGAAACATGAAGAAACTTTCGAAAATACAAAACTGGAAAAAGTTCCCTAGAAACCTCCTTAAGTTCCCTAGATATCACGGTTTGAAAAAATCGACTCGGTCGAGAAACTGCAAAGTTTCGGAGCTGGAAACATGAAGAAACTTTCCGAAATACAAAACTGGAAAAAGTTCCCTAGAAACCTCCTTAAGTTCCCTAGATATCACGGTTCGAAAAAATCGACTTGGTCGAGAAACTGCAAAGTTTCGGAGCTGGAAACATGAAGAAACTTTCCGAAATACAAAACTTGAAAAAGTTCCCTAGAAACCTCCTTAAGTTCCTTAGACATCACGGTTCAAAAAAATCGACTGGGTCGAAAAACTGCAAAGTTTTGAAGCTGGAAATAAGAAGAAAATATCCAAAATACAAAACTATAAAAAGTTCCCTGGAAACCTCCTTAAGTTCCCTAGACATCCCGGTTCGAAAAAATCGACTGGGTCGGAAAACTGCAAGGTTTCGAAGGTGAAAACATGAAGAAACTTTCGAAAATACAAAACTGGAAAAAGTTCCCTAGAAACCTCCTTAAGTTCTCTAGATATCACGGTTCGAAAAAATCGACTCGGTCGAGAAACTGCAAAGTTTCGGAGCTGGAAACATGAAGAAACTCCGAAATACAAAACTGGAAAAAGTTCCCTAGAAACCTCCTTAAGTTCCTTAGACTTCACGGTTCGAAAAAATCGACTCGGTCAAAAAACTGCAAAGTTTTAAAGCTGGAAATAAGAAGAAAATATCCAAAATACAAAACTGGAAAAAGTTCCCTAGAAACCTCCTTAAGTTCCCCAGACTTCACGGTTCGAAAAAATCGACTGGGTTGGAAAACTGCAAAGTTTCTAAGCTGGAAACATGAAGAAAACATTCAAAATACAAAACTGGTAGAAGTTCTCTAGACACCTCCTTAAGTTCCCTAGACATCACGGTTCGAAAAAATCGACTCGGTCGAGAAACTGCAAAGTTTCGGAGCTGGAAACATGAAGAAACTTTCCAAAATACAAAACTGGAAAAAGTTCTCTGGAAACCTCCTTAAGTTCCTTAGACTTCACGGTTCGAAAAAATCGACTGGGTCGAAAAACTGCAAAGTTTTGAAGCTGGAAATAAGAAGAAAATATCCAAAATACAAAACTGGAAGAAGTTCCCTAGAAACCTCCTTAAGTTCCCTAGGCATCACGTTCGAAAAAATCGACTGAGTTGGAAAACTGTCAAGTTTTAAAGCTGGAAACATGAAGAAAATATTCAAAATACAAAACTGGTAGAAGTTCCCTAGACACCTCCTTAAGTTCCCTAGACATCACGGTTCGAAAAAATCGACTCGGTCAAAAAACTGCAAAGTTTTAAAGCTGGAAATAAGAAGAAAATATCCAAAATACAAAACTGGAAAAAGTTCCCTAGAAACCTCCTTAAGTTCCCCAGACTTCACGGTTCGAAAAAATCGACTGGGTTGGAAAACTGCAAAGTTTCTAAGCTGGAAACATAACGAAAATATTCAAAATACAAAACTAGAAAAAGTTCCCTAGAAACCTCCTTAGGTTCCCTAGACTTAATGGTTCGCAAAAATCATTTGGGTAAAAATGCTTTTTTCCAGGGCAACTTTTCCTTGTACCTCTCTTACTACTAGTCCGATTCTCCAGCGGAAAACTTCCCTAGAAACCTCCGAAAATCCCCAAAAAACCTGCACCCGAACCAGCACTGTCGCCCTCCAAAACCTCCAAGCTGCAGCCAATCAAAACACACACACACTTACAAATAGTTTGGGCTTCAGCGGTGCGCAGCAGCGGCGCCACCTGCACGCCACTGTCAATCCGGCGCAGCACCACACTGGAAAAACTCTCCTCGCCTGCGCAGCGCAGCTCGATATACCCATCTCGCTTGCACTCGGCGCGCAGCATCCGGAACTGCACCTTTCCCGGAAAAATCGGGTACTCAGTCTCCACCTCCACCTCCAACAAGGGGCGCTGTTGCCGCACCAGCGCCTCATCCACCTCCACTTCGGCGCCGAGCGACTGCCTGCAACAAGGGGGCGTTTTAGGTGGGGGAGGGGCGTGGCCAAAAAGGGCGCGGCTCACCAAGGATGCACGTCCTTGTACAGCTGATAGTAGAGACGATCCTCCTGTTCCTGTCGCAGTTTCTCGATGATTTTCTCCACGGCGTCAGTGGCGCCCTCTGTCACACACATGTAGAACTCCTCCTCTTTCTCCTGGCTTTCATCGGCAATATAACCTGCAAACGTCAGCAGGGGGGAGTGGCCTGGCTCCCCCGTCCAACAAGCCGCGCCCACTTACCAATCAGAATCTCTGGGCGGGGATAGGCGAGGATTTCCGCCCGCAGTGGGAGGAACTCAGAACTCTCCTCATGGAGCTCTAGATTGTCTTGGACCAGCTCCTTTTTCACGTAGGTCCAGGGACTTTCTGAGGTGACCTGATCGCCCACCACGCACCTGAAACGGTGTCGGTTGCAACTCAGAACGGCTGGCTCAGAACCGTCTTACTGCACGATCTTCTGCGTCAGCTCAGACATGACGATTCGGCGCACACCGTCAATGTCAAACAGGTCGCGCTTCTTCTTTTTGCGCCTGCGGCGCCTGCGCGCGCTCATCGACTTGCTCAGCGCGTCCTCTTCGTCCTCGTGCATTTTCACTAGTGACAGTGACTGACGCGGCGACAATGGCCGACCGGCCGTGGGGGGATCGACCAAACATCCCCATGGCAACCGCCCGGTTTGGTTGATGGTGGGGCTGGAGGCGGCCCGTCAGGGCGGTGTTGTCTAGTTTTGAGGTTAGGACGTGTGTTTACTCAATCGCTCCTGACTCGGCTGCTCCTTTGCGTTGCCAGCTCAACTTCAAATTCGTGTTAAAAATCCCCACAGCTTGGAAAAATTTTGAAAAAATTCCCAGTTATGTACAAAAGCCTCCTTGATCCAGGGGCATTATTGCCAAATTTCCAGTTGGCTCAGTGTCTGAGTCATAAATTGTCAAACTTTGCTAAAATCAAATGGACACTTTGCGTTGCCAGCTCAACTTCAAATTCGTGTGAAAAATCCCCAAAACTTGGAAAAATGTTGGAAAAATTCCCAGTTATGTGCAAAAGCCTCCTTGATCCAGTGGCGGTATTGCCAAATTTCCAGTTGGCTCAGTGTCTGAGTTATAAATTGTCAAACTTTGTTGAACTCAAATGAACCCTTTGCGTTGCCAGCTCAACTTCAAATT